TTTATTCCCAGGTATTTTATTCTTTTTGTTGCAGTGGTAAGTGGGAGTGTTTCCTTAATTTCTCTTTCAGATTTTTCATCATTAGTGTATAGGAATGCCAGAGATTTCTGTGCATTAATTTTATATCCTGCTACCCTACCAAATTCATTGATTAGCTCTAGTAGTTTTCTGGTAGCATCTTTAGGATTCTCTATGTATAATATCATGTCATCTGCAAACAGTGACAGTTTTACTCCTTCTTTTTGGATTTAGATTCCTTTTATTTCTTTTTCTTCTCTGATCGCTGTGGCTAAAACTTCCAAAACTATGTTGAATAATAGTGGTGAGAGTGGGAAACCTTGTCTTGTTCCTGTTCTTAGAGGAAATGCTTTCAGTTTTTCACCATTGAGAATGATGTTTGCTGTGGGTTTGTCATCTATGGCCTTTATTATGTTGAGGTAGTTCCCTCTATGCCTACTTTCTGGAGAGTTTTTATCATAAATGGGTGCTGAATTTTGTCAAAAGCTTTTTGTGCATCTATTGAGATGATCATATGGTTTTTCCCCTTCTATTTGTTAATATGGGTTATCACATTGATTGATTTGTATATATTGAAGAATCCTTGCATTCCTGGCGTAAACCCCACTTGATCATAGTGTATGATCCTTTTAATGTGCTGTTGATATCTAGTCTCATAGTATTGTGGTCAGAAAAGATACTTGGTATGATTTCAATTTTCTTAAATTTACCAAGGCTTGATTTGTGATCCAGGATATGATCTATCCTGGAGAATGTTCCATGAGCACTTGAGAAGTGTATTCTGTTGCTTTTGGATGGAATATCCTATAAATATCAATTAAGTCCATCTTGTTTAATGTATCATTTAAAGCTTGTGTTCCTTATTTATTTTCATTTAGGATGATCTGTCCATTGGTGAAAGTGGGGTGTTAAAGTCCCCTACTATGTGTTACTGTCGATTTCCCCTTTTATGGCTGTTAGCATTTGCCTTATGTATTGAGGTGCCCCTGTGTTGAGTGCATAAATATTTACAATTGTTATAACTTCTTCTTGGATTGATCCCTTGATCATTATGTAGTGTCTTTTGTCTCTTGTAATAGCCTTTATTTTAAAGTCTATTATGTCTGATATGAGAATTGCCACTCCAGCTTTCTTTTGATTTCCATTTGCATAGAAAATCTTTTTCCATTCCCTCACTTTCAGTCTGTATGTGTCCCTAGGTCTGAAGTGGGTCTCTTGTAGACAGCATATATACGGGTCTTGTTTTGTATCTATTCAGCCAGTCTATGTCTTTTGGTTGGAGCATTTAATTCTTTTACATTTAAGGTAATTATCAATATGTATGTTCCTATTACCATTTTCTTAATTGTTTTGGGTTTGTTATTGTAGGTCTTTTCCTTCTCTTGTGTTCCCTGCCTAAAGATGTTCCTTTAGCATTTTGTCGTAAAGCTGGTTTGGTGGTACTGAATTTTATTAGCTTTTGCTTGTCTGTAAAGGTTTTAATTTCTCTGCTGAATCTGAATGAGATCCTTGCTGGGTAGAATAATCTTGGCTGTAGGTTTTTCCCTTTCATCACTTTAAATATGTCCTGCCACTCCTTTCTGGCTTGCAGAGTTTCTGCTGAAAAATCAGCTGTTAACTTTATGGGGATTCCCTTATATGTTATTTGTTGCTTTTCCCTTGCTGCTTCTAATATTTTTTCTTTGTATTTAATTTTTGATAGTTTGATTAATATGTGTCTCGGCGTGTTTCTCTGTGGGTTCATCCTGTATGGTACTCTCTGTGCTTCCTGGACTTGATTGACTATTTCCTTTCCCATGTTAGGGGAGTTTTCTACTATAATCTCTTCAAATATTTTCTCAGACCCTTTCTTTTTCTCTTCTTCTTCTGGGACCCCTATAATTCAAATGTTGGTGCATTTAATGTTGGACCAGAGGTCTCGAGACTGTCCTCAATTATTTTCATTCTTTTTTCTTTATTCGCCTCCCTGGCAGTTATTTCCACCATTTTATCTTCCAGCTCACTTATCCTTTTCTCTGCCTCAGTTATTCTGTTATTGATTCCTTCTATAGTATTTTTAATTTCAGTAATTGTGTTGTTCATCATTGTTTGTTTGCTCTTCAGTTCTTCTATATCCTTGTTAAATGTTTGTTGTATCTTTTCCATTATGTTTCTGAGATTTTGGATCATCTTTACTATCATTACTCTGAATTCTTTTTCAGGTAGCTTGCCTATTTCGTCTTCATTTATTTGGTTTTGTAGGTTTTTACCTTGCTCTTTCATCTGTAACTTTTTTTTGTCGTTTCTTTCTTTCTTTTTTTTGATGGGTGGTGCTGTATTCCTGTCTTACTGGTTGTTTTGCCTGAGACGTCCAGCATTGGAGTTTGCAGGCAGTTAGATAGAACTGGGTCTTGGTGCTGAGATGAGGACCTCTGGGAGGCCTCACTCCAATTGATATTTCCTGGGGTCTGAGGTTCTCTGTTAGTCCGGCGGTTTGGACTTGGAGCTCCCAATACGGGAGCTCCGGCCCAGCCTCTGGTCTGGGAACCAAGACCCCGCAAGCTTCATGGCATGGTAAAAAAAAAAAAAAAGGAAGAAAGGAGCAGTACAATATCAAAGAATAAAAAACAAAATAAAATTAGAAAGATAAAAAATATATTAGGAGGGTTTCCCTGGTGGTGCAGTGGTTGAGAGTCTGCCTGCCAATGCAGGGGACACGGGTTCATGCCCCGGTCCGGGAGGATCCCACATGCCGCGGAGCGGTGGGCCCGTGAGCCATGGCCGCTGAGCCTGCGTGTGGGGAGCCTGTTCTAAAGGGGGGAAGGCAAAAAAAAGGAGGGGGCGGAGAAAAAAAAAAAAAAAAAAAAAAAAAAAAAAATTAGGAGAAACAAAACTATAATTGAAACAACTGCAACAAGGTAAAATAAAACCAAAGCCAAAAAAAGCAAAAAAAAGGGGGGCGGGCAACAAGCCAAAAGGCGAGATCACCGGTTGCTGGGGGTTCCTCCCATCTCCTTAGGTGTCTGTGGTCCCCCACTGGTGCCTGGTAGGTGCCCTTGTTGTGAGGAGACGCAAATTCTGCATCCTCCTAGTATGCCATCTTGACTCCACCCCTAATCCCCTATTTTGTTTTTTGAATTTCTTTTTTCATTTTTGCTCTTATAAATAACTCTTTAATGAATACTCATGTACATAGATTCTTGAACAAATGACTCCTTAGTTTTAAAGAGAAATTTTCAGAAGCAGAATTACTTGTTAAAATCACAAACATTATAATGTCACTTTATACATATTGTCAAGTTGCCTGTCAGAGAAGTTCTAGCAACTTAAACTCTCATTAGACATGTCCCTTTCACCATATTCTTGCTAAAAGTAGGCCTTTATCACTTTTTAACCTTTGCTTATTTGACAGATGATAGATGATACCTCATTGTTGTTTTAATTTGTTTTTCTTTGATTACTACTGAAGATGAAACTGTTTTTATATTTATTGGTCACGTTCTTGATCATTAAAAAATTAAATTGTTTTTTCCTTATTGATATGCAGGAACTATTTGTTATTAGAGAATTTAAATCTTGTCTTATATGTTATAAATATTGGTCTAGTTTTTCATTTGTCTTTTAATTTTATGAATTTTGGACATTGTATACATTTGAAGATTTCATGTAATTAAATCTAGTAATAATTTTTTTTGGCTTTGCTTTTATAATACCATGCTCAGGGAGACTGGAATACTTCTTAAAATAATCTTTTTCAGGAAAGCATAAATCTGTTATATTTTCTGAATCTTTGAATGACTGAGAATACATTTCTGTGGCCTTCATGTAGGAACCATATCTTGGCAGCTGGAGCAGTTTTGACACACTATCCTCAAAATGTTGTAGAGGCCGTTCCCCTATTTTCTGAAATTTATCATTGAAAGATAAGTCTGATGTCAAAAGGAATTTTCCTCCTAGTATGTCCCCTGGTTGTTTGTTGGGCTGAATGATTGCAAGATTTTTCTTTATATTTGGAATATAATGGAAAAGCAAGACATGATGAGGAGAGTCTCTTTTATATTCTCTGGAGTTCAGTGGGGTTTTGGATTAAAGTCAAGGATTTCTTCAACTCAAGAAAATTATCTTTTGTTGTTTATTTGGTCACCACTTCCTCTCTGTCTGATGCGTTCTCCTCCCCCAGGTTTCCTATTCAATCTCCTGGACCTAACCTATATGCCTCTTATGTGAGTTCCAGAATTTGGCTGACTGGTTTTCTCACTGTTTTTTACATTGTCCAACTTGCTAGTCAGTATGGCCCTCACATTTTTACATCAGGCCATTATTGTTTCACCTAAAAGTAGTCTTCCCTAACCTCAGATTGTTCCTTTTTCATGAGTATAATCTCCTCACATTATTGTTGAGAATCTGGATTTAATATCTTACAAAATTCACTTTCCTGTAGCAAGCTTTTTTCAAGAGTTCTTTTCTTTGGAGACCATGAACATTTTTTCTATGTTCAAATGTTTCTCTGTTTGCTCATTTTACAAGGGAGGTCTGTGTTTGCCCAGTTTTAGAACTTGGGAGAGGTTCCATCAGAGAGTATTCAGGTTCATGTCTGATTTCTTCAGTGTGAGAAAAGGGATCAAAGAAGAATGTATAATTCTTGTAGTTTAACTTCCCTGGATCAGCGTTTTCATTTTACAGGAGGTTGAAGAGAGAACTACATCCCGAGGTGGCTGTACAACAGGGGCTTCCCCACTATGCCCAGGTTTCCTTTCCACCCGGCAGGGGCACCATCCTCCTTCTCTAATGGACGAGACAGCTCTTGTTATGAGCCTGTTGTTCTTATCACAGTGTTTGAACTGAACTGAACTGAAATGGCTATGGATGTGCCTTTGATGGCAGATTGTGCTGAGAAGGGAAATTTGCACCTGTTTGGATCTGGCATCACATTTATAGAGAGCAAGGGGGAAACAAACACAGAGGTCAGCACATCCCGCATGATTACTGCCCAAATTACTTACCAAAGACATCTGTGAAGCTGTGATCCAATCGGGAGGGATGTGAAAATGAGCCCCAGCTGAGTCTCCCAGCAAAATGATTCCCCTGGGCTGTGAACCTAGGTGGCACAATTTATTTGCATTATTTATGGAGCCTCCAGCTTGGGTAGTTAGGTGAGCACATACCCTGGTGTGTATTCTGTGCATAGAGCATCGTAACAGTGATGCGTTGCCACTTTTCGAGTGTTGGAGAGTGAGCGGCATAGCATTTAGGAGCTGAATGAGATTTCCAGGCCATTGAAACTTGCCAGCTAAGCTGTGCAGATGCAGGTGTGCTTCCTAGCTCAGCATAAAACAAACACCTGTGCAACATCTTGAGTGAATGATAGATGAATAAAAGCATCAAAACTTTATCTGAACTCAGAAATATGCCCTAAATTTTGGTTCTGAAAATTGCTTCCTTGGAAAACACACTCATTTCTGTTAATATCCACTTTAGGAATTAGTAATCTCATGGAGCAATTTTGATTTTTTTCAAAGATGTTATGGTCTTTTAATGTCCTTAATCTATATATACAAAAGCACTGGATGGACAATCATGGCTGATTAGTGGGGAGATGGAGAGATAAAATCTCTATGCAGCCCTATATGTTTGGAGGTTAAGAATCACTTAATCTGATTCTAAGGCCCATCTACACGAATCATTCATCCATGGGTGATACATGAACTCTTCCAAATCCCTTAAGATCCTGAAAGAATCAATCAGTGCCTCTCAGAGTCAGAGAAGAGAGCCTACTTCCTCCACCTCCAAAGGCCCCAAATCAAGCCGAGGATGGCCCAGCCTCACTCCAGCAGCTCCCTATCTCAGGACTTTGTGACAGCTAGCACAAATGGGGACTGAGAAGGCCCAGGACATTGAGGAGGGGTTGGGATTTGGGGAATCCAAGAGGCTTCCCACAGTGAACCCAGAGCCTCACACCAGGATTTCACTTAGATCTGAGTTTACTTATTCATTTGTCTATTTGTTAATGCATTCCTTTATTCATCCAACAAGCATTTCTAAACTGCATTACTATGTGTCGGGTCCTTACATTTTCTACCTCCATCCTGTCCTTCTAATAGCTTACAGACAATTAGACTTTAAGCTGGTTGAGGGCAAGGACTGTATCACGTCTGCTCATAAAAACTCAGAGCCAAGTACAGTCCTTGGTGCATAATAGGAATAGGTGTCCAGGAAATATCTGTTGAATGAATGAATGAATGAAATGCTTCTAAATGTTAGGGGAAAGCATTGTCTAAACATAAAACAGTGATGCTACCATAGGGTCTTGTTTGAGACTCTTTGGGCATCACCAGGACCAGGTTTTCAGTACTATGTGGGTGGTAATAGGTTCCTCCTAAGAACACTGGTAGCCCAGGTGTATGTGGCATTGGGCATTTAGAATATAGAGCTTTTGGTCGGGTATTTTTTGGAACTCTCAATGGCTATTGCTTGGAGGTCTCCGTCAAGTCGCCCAGATATGAGTCTTTAGCCCAGTCGACGCAAGGACTCTGTCAGTACAAGTCTAGACGTCTGACCTTGTAGTGTATTGAGGAGGACACAGAGAAGACTGAAAATTATCACCTCCACTTATTTTCTTATTTGGAGAAGTGCTGGATTTCAGTTACCCTGTTATCTATCTTACAGCCTTTTCTAATATTATCATTAAAGTTTCCAATTCCCTAAAAAAGGAATCTATTAAACAAATTCAGTTTTGCTTTGTCTTGATTCTGCCTCATTTGTCTATAATCTTTTTCATGTCATTTTCTAATTTGTCACAAAAATAAATGTAAATTGGTCAACATTATGTTGTAGCATCAGGCACTTCCTCACTTGGATGGCCTGTTTGCTTCAATCTGACTCAGACTAGAAAAGAATATTCTATTGGAATAAGTACACTGACTTTTACAATTCATACCTTCACAGAATTTCTTCTCATATGGAATTCCATCTTTTGGATCAACACCCTTTAAGAGAAATGATGAAATTAGCAGCTTGCTTTTAAATTTATGAGACACAAACACGAAATCCTTCCCAAATGGCTTTAAAAGCACAAAAACAAATCAGTAGATAAAATCCTTTAAAGTCTCTTGAGCCCTTAATCCAACATAGCAACATCCTAGGTAAGTGAATTGGGCTTTTAGGAACTGGGGGCAGGAATAAGGAGAGATCCAGAAACTGGACCATCTTGTTCAGAAGGATGCAGGGCAGGGCTCTGGGTGCTGGTAGTATCACCCGGAGGGCGCATAGAGGGTCCATTCAGTGACTGGGACACAGGGGCAGACTGGGTTCAGCGGTCTCTGAGTTGGAGCTCTAAGTGTCCTGACACCTCCGGTGCCTAAGGGTTGATGCTTCTAGAGCAGAGATTCTCAACAGGGCTGCTTTTGAGGCACCCCTCCCCCACCCCTGCCCCACAGCCATCCAAAGGGACGTTTGGCAATGCCTGGAGACATCTTTGGTTGTTACAATGGGGGGAGGGGGAGCTACCGGCATTTAGTGGGGAGAGGCAGGGATGCAACTGACCATCATACAATTTACAAGGCAGCCCAAACCGTAAAGAATGATTCCAAATGTTGATATGATGAGACTGAGAAACCCAGAAGTGAGGTTGAGCCTATGAGTGGGACAGCGTCACCACAGCTGAGGGCACTTCCTAACACTTAAAGCTAAGTCTGTGCATTAGTGGAGCAGCTGGTCCTTGGAAGGTTTGAGCAGAGTCTGGATAACTTTAAAAAAATTAAAAAATATATATATATAATTTTTTTTCTTTTGTTTGCCAAACTCTGGTCTGGAGAGCACTGGCATTCCACTAGATATTAATGGTATTAACAGTATTTTAGGAAGAGAAGCTGATGGTCAGAGATGTACTGGAAACAGTGTGTTCACTGTCTTGGCCTTGGGGACTCCCAACATGCATTAAAACATTAAAGGTGCTGAGAAATTCAGAAGTAAAGAAAACTGTTCAGGCTTATTTGACCCAGTACTTTCCGAACTTTGCTATAGCGCCCCTCCTCCCTTACCTCTTAACCTCCCACTCAACACTGGAGTACTTGGACACAGTTTGGGAAATGTTGGACTTAGTGATTGTAAAGTCCTCTCTGAGTTTATGATTTTGTGATTCTGTGAGTCATTTTTCCTCCATGGAAAGGGATGGGTATGAAGGTCATGTGTCTTTCTCCTATTACTGATGATAAACGCTGAGTCTTGGCTTCCTGGCCTCCTGGCGGATTTACACTGGTCTAGCACAGTCTCTTATTGGCCTTCCTTATGTAGGTGGGCTCCCATGTCAGAGGCAGGGATGGGGTCATGGAACCAAGACAGCAGCTTCACACACTAATAACCCCCCATGTCCTCCAACATGACAACTAAGCTTGACTTTATCGAACAAGGGCTGCCTTGGGGGTCTTGACACCTTGACACCTTAAGATCTAGGGGACATGTCTTCCCCTCCTCATGAAAAGGCAGTGTGACTGATGATAGGGTGGGTGGGTAGGGCTATACCAGGATACAATCTGTCTTGCTCTCCATATCTCAGAAGAAATGGACTGTCAGTGTCCTGGAGAGAGGAAACTGTTTACAGGAACTTTCTCCTCTTCATCCAAGCAGACAAATTAGGCAACCATTCAGAGGCAATTGATCTTGAAGCTGGAGAATCTTAAACTTCAAGGCTCCTTGTTTGTACGATCCCTGCCTGTGTGAGTGCTGGGAGCCATAGAGTGTTTTAGGTGGAGAGGAGCCAGGCTGCACTCAGAACAATATTTCTACATAAGCACTCCTGGTAAATTGGAAAAGAGATCTCAGAAGAAAGGGACATGAATTTCCAAGACTCCAGGAATTTGTTAAGATTTCTTTTATTGTTCTAATTAATTATACTTTTATTCTTGATTTTGTATTTGTATTCTTGATTTTGTATTTGAGGAGGACGGAAAGCAAGAGAACAGGGTTAAATTTGAATTTAGTCTCTTACCCAAATGCCATTACAGTTTGAATCCTGATGTGTATCCCAGTTGTCTGGCCTACGAAGAAAACATCAACATTGGTCTTTGGCATGTATTTATCACTCTGAATGTCAGCTTCACAAATGAAGGAATGAATGAATGAGTGCTACACCAAGTGTCTTCGATAGACGACAGTTTCTTCAGGGAAAAGTGCCGCACACCATTGTGTGTTGTGGCACACAGAAGCCTCACTTGGCCTCTTTGCCATTCTCTTGGCTTTGGATGTTTGCTGGGAACTGTGGACCAAATGCAGTCTTTTCACAATTGACTATATTCATGGGAGGTATTGTTGTGGAATGATGCTGATGGGAATAATGAACACATCTGCAGTCCATTTCATTTAGACAGGTGACACCATTAAAGTTATGCCTCTAAAGTCCCAAACATCTGGTTAATGCTTCCACACTGTAGTCACAGCTAAGATGAAGGCTGGCATACCCAGTTTGAAGTCTGAGATGTGACTGACTGAACATCAGCCTGGGACTAAAATGTGACCTATGCTCTGCTCTCTGCCCCCGTCGCCCTCCTCCTGGTGGAAGAGGCTACTCTTTCTGGGCCCAGGGCTGCCTGTAGAACTCGTGCAGGAGGCTGGATAAACGTCCACAATAACCTGTCTACTCACGTGTTTCTCCCACTAGACTGTGAACTCCTCGAGGGGAGGCCTATTTCTATTTGTTTACCACCCAACATGATGCAGAGTGCTTGGCAACGCTCGATGAGCATTTTCTGGGCAAATGAATGAACAAACACTGTTTTTTCATTGCGCTTTACTTCAATTAGGACATGGAGGTCCCTTCTCTCTGTAAGCACGAATCCCCTAGGCTGAGGGAGATAATTATGCCTTCTGCCTCCTTTTCAGAAGGTAATTTTCAACATCAGTGACCAGCAGAGACCGTTACCTTCTGCCTGGGTATGCCATCTTGTTGCTGTCGTTACAGTCTCTCCCTCGCCAGTGAGAGCCCCGCAGTGTCTGAAATTGAAGAGCACACACAGGAAGGGTCAGTTCTGCTTTGACGTTATCCACAGCGAAGGCCAATCAGAGCTGTCTGAGGGGTGCTGACATCTGCCATTTTAAATCCAAATACAGGCTAGGAACACTAGAGATCACTAAGAAAATTAAGATGATATGCTGAGACCTCCTGTGTGAGGTGAAATGTAATACGGTGCCAGGGCCAATCACAGATGAAGTGTGTGTGTATGTGAGAGTGTGTGTACGCGTGTGTATATGTGTTGTTGGGTGCGTGCTGATATGTGAGTGTATGGGGGTGCATGTGTGTGAATGTGCATGCATGTGGGCACATGTGCATTCACATGGGTTGTTATGTGAATGCATGTTTTATACACGTGTCTGTGTACATGTGTGTTCATGTGTATGCATCTATGTGCACTTCCACAAAGAGTAGGACCATCCAACTCCCTGAACTTTCTCTATCAAAGGCTCCAAAACAATTGGTTTATTTGGTCCAGTCATTAATCATTTTGCTGGATAATCTAAAAGACCTCTAGCCAAACGGGTTAGTTGTGTGGATTTATTATATTTTTGACATGTCTGATTTGAAAGAATCAAGAGTCATGATAATGTCAAACAATGTTTTTATTTCTCACATTCCCAGGTAGAGTATTTGAGATCCCACCTACTTTGGAGAGTTTGTGACATCTGTTGCTTGCTTGAATTTCGCAGAGAACATTCTGACATCCTAACTGTTCTAAATCTAACATGTGTACACAGACATAAACACACACACACACGCACACACACACACACTTTAAGTTAAAATACGTTTCAGAATTTTGAAAATAATTCCCAACACATTTCAAGATAACTTATCCCCGTGGAGAATTCCAGCTGGGAATGGCTTTAGGAAACGAAAACAGTCTAGGACTAAGATCCACTTTGATGGTCCATGTATTAGTAAGATACCAAAAAGTCTGTAAACATCATAAAATGGTGTATTATCACATTAATAATACATTCAAATGGCATTCAATCTTGTCTTATTAAAGGAAAGAAATTTATAGGAAGCGACGCAATATTTAGCAAACATCTGGTTAGTCTTAATGATACTTACTGGGAAAACACTGTATTTGTCTGAATCTACATCTTTGAATGGTAAAGAATTTTGTATAGCCCTAAAAGAAAAAAAACACCTGGTGAGCTAAGAAAAAAAAAATGGTGTTTGTGAAAACAAATAGAGACATTTTTAGATATGGCTGTGTTGAGTTTATGTGACAGAACCCCATTCTAAAAATAAAATTAAGGACCTAAATAAAAATTTTAAAAATAAAATGAAAAGTACCAGTCAAACTTTGCTCATCCCTGCTCTCCACTCAACAGAACTATTTTCTCTCTGACTTTTTACTTGACCTATACGGGGAGTTAAAATATAATGAACTCAAGTTTTAGAGGGCATGGGATATGGCTGTTCAGGTCCTCAGGAAAGAACCTACATTTTTGGTCCAGTCAACGAGCTCAGTACTACAGATTTTACACAGTTTACACATTCTGTGATGGAAATCTTTTCTTAAGATTCTCCTCTTTTAAACCACTTATTCTGAGAATCTGAAAATTTAGTTGTCACTCCCATTCAAGAGCCTGGGGAACCAAGGGCTCTGTTGTGATTGATGACCAAGCAATTCATGCCAAAACCATGGACACACCCCCGAGTGAGGATTTCCCCTGAGATCTCACTACCAGACTTTTTCCAGCTTCCAAAGGCAAATGCTGTTTCCCTCTAGGAAAATCACTTACAGAGTAGCAGGGAAGTGCCATGATATGGCAGGGTGAGGTTATTCTTGGAGCCTAGAATATAGAGGGAGTAACATGACCCTTTATAGGATTTAGTAAATGGTCTTTTGAATCAAGAGCTTCTCAGCAGTTCTGAGAGTCTCAAGTCAAGTGAATTCAGCCAAAGCCAGCATGGAGCCTAATTGGTGGTATGGAGCCTGTCTTATGAGCTCTGAGATGGTGGACCCACCACAAGTCCACATTAATAGACCTCTTGAGAGATGATATCTCCTGTAAGACTAGGTAGTTTTCTCCCATGTACATATTTGACCTCTTGGATAGCTATTTTATGTTTCTAGATGAGAAAAGGAGGGAAGACACAGAGGGAGAGGGAGATGGAGAGAGAGAAAGAGAGGACGAACAGACCCAAAGAGCTATATTTTCAGTCTGAGAAAAGGTTCTGGGTGAAAGGTCTCACTGAGGATGACAAAGCTACCCCTTTCCACCTTTGCCATCTCGGGGATGAGAGTTTGTCCTTGAAGGAAGGAACAATGAGTTGTCTCTAGAATTAGAAAATTAGTTCATTAAATTAACCTTTACCTGCTTATTTTAAAGGCTCAGAGTGACTAACCAAAACCATACATTCTAGACACGAGAGGGTAGATTGGTCATCAAAAGTCACATAAATTGCAATTTACATAAACTCCACAATCCCTTATTCACAGCCCCCAGATCCAAACAGGTCTGAACACCAAGAGTTGTTTCTTATTTTCAACTTCGCAGCTAACACATTTGGTGGCAAAACTTGACCCAAACTGGTCTAAGGCAATTCATAAGCTATACCTTATTTAGTGTGACTATCCATATATTTCATTGCTGATATATAAATTTGTTTGATTAGGAGGTGCTGGGAGTGTTAGGTGAGTTATGGTATATAGTATGTTACTTTCTTAAAATCTGAATTTGAAATCACATCTGGCTCTGTTTTGGATAAAGCATTGTTGACTTTCACTACTATTACTTCTGCAAAATTGCATCTAAACTTGATAACTTGTGTATCCTTACAGGTATCTGGTTGTAAGCCGAAACATTCATTCATTCATTCATTCATTTATTCATTCCACAGCTATTTTTGAAGTCCTTGCATGTGCCAGTCATCATATGAGATATTAGGGCTGAATGTAAGATGCATTTCCTATGCTAGAAGAGCTTAATGATGGGTGGGGGGAAACAAGGCATCAACAGATAACCACAGTGCTATGGAGAAAATTCTATAAGAGGGTTGTGCACGTGGAGGGAAAACACTCCTAACTCTACACAGGGAAGGAGGTGATCTTAAGCTGGAAGCTAAAGGATGAGAAAGCATTTTCAAAGCTTTGGGTGATGGGTGTGGGTGCTCTAGTAGGAAGGAAAAGTATGGGAAGCCCCCTAACATTGCTCTAGGTTCTGAAGTTAGACTCCTTGGATTTGAATCCCAGGTCTGTCGTCTACTTGGTATGTAACTTTGGGCAACTTATTTAATCTGTTTGTACATCTGTTACCTCATTTGTAAATGGGGCCAGTGTCAGTACCTGTTTCCTAGGGCTGTTGCAAAGACTGATAGCGTTGTTACGTGTGAAGCAAGGAAGACCTGTGCCAAGCATGTGATAAGTACTCACAAAATATTAGCTCTTTTCATTATGTGCAGTGCTAACAGTTATTCCAAGGACGGTTTCTAGGATTGGGCAAACAGGAATCAGGTGTCTGCTCTTATGACATTTTAGTTTCTGGAGACCTCTCGAATCCAATCCATGGACTCTCTTCAGATTTTCAGATTCCCAGCCACACAATGTTCTGTCCAGTTATGCGTGCCCACTATTTTTAGGTATTTTTACCGTAAGCACCTTTGCAGCAAGCATTTCTGCTGTAAACATTTTCACTGCATAACTAGTTGGCCATAAGACAATTTTGCCATAAAAGGTGAAACGACTGGTTGATAGTTTGTTTTGATGCGCATCATACAAAAATCATGAGAGATGATGATGATTTGCCCCAGGAGCTGGTTTCTGATTTTGAAGCACACTACAATGGAAGAGAAAGACGTTGAGGGCCTGAAAGTTGCAGATTTGAACTCGCATTGCCCATAGAACTTTGGAATGTTTATCAACAGACATTTTACAAGATGCCAAGAACACAACAGTGTAGAGGCTTTCACAGCACAATACAAAGCTTAGGTATAAACATGCATCCTAGTATTTGGAAACCGATACCTCTCCTAACGAAGGAAGAAATCTTAGCAAAAAAGAAAAAGTGTGATGCCAAATGAGGAGAAGAATCAACAAGAAAAAACAGTGTGTAAAATACTAAGAATGAAAAACCTGGAAGACAAGTGCTTATGTACAAGTCACGAAATAAGATCAGTCATTTGCGCAGTATTGCCATGAAATATACACACACTTTAAATACATTCAGATGTTCTGTATTTAGCAATAAAGTCTCTTTAATTTTGTAATTCATTTTTTATGTTTCATGATGTCCTTCTTAATGTCACTTTTAGTTTTCATTGTTTTATCCTTTACAGCAAAATCATGGCTAATTAGTTACATGGCAAAAATGTTTTTGGCAGCAAGGCTGTCTAAGGCAGAGAAACTTACGGTGAAAATACCTAGAACCCCAGTTACCAGGTTGGCTGGTGCAGCTAATCACCTGCTTGCTGCTCCTGCCCTATGACTATCTGGGGTTGGGCTAGCAGCCTTGACCCAGGGAGCAATTGTGATTGCAGCTGAATGGCATTCGTTACATAATGGTGAGCTATTCAAGTTCAAAGTGCCTAAAATTATGTCATGAAACTGGGGCATTACAACAAAAGAAAACTAGGGAGAATAAAATTTCCATGTGTATCTGCCTCATATTTGAGTCCCAGGCAGTACTCCAGGGCCAGCGTGACTCTGTTTCATATGCGTGTGGATGCGTTATGTGCATCCCTGTAAGATAAAATGAGAGCAGAGAAAACCATGGAAGGACACATCCTGACATATTTACACAGCTCACCTTGTGGTGGGGACAAGGACGATGTGGGAGGAAAGAGCATGGCAGGGGCAAGAAGGAACAAATGAAAAAAGGCAAAGAATGATGAATTAAAAGCACGGTTAGGGCTTCCCTGTTGGCGCAGTGGTTGAGAGTCCGCCTGCCGATGCAGGGGACACGGGTTCGTGCCCTGGTCCGGGAAGATCCCACATGCCGCGGAGCGGCTGGGCCCGTGAGCCATGGCTGCTGAGCCTGTGCGTCTGGAGCCTGTGCTCCGCAACCGGAGGGGCCACAGCAGTGAGAGGCCCGCGTACCGCAAAAACAAAAAAAACACAAAAACACAGTTAAGGTAAGATAAGATAGTCTGTGTGAATTTATGTGAAATAATACATATGTGGGTTCATGCATTTGGAAATTCAATAAAAAGAATAAATTATTAAGAGGGGACCCTCCTGTCCTACCACTGCTACAATAGAAAATAGGCAGTATATAGGCACTGTGAATTCTGATCAAAACAAAAGAACCAAAATCTTGGTTGCCCCATGGTAGTAGCCTGGTATCCTAATCATTTGTTTTTCTAATAAAGTAGTGCTTTTTCTTTATTTATTCCCTTGTTTCTACAGAGTCCCTACTAAAACTAAGCACTGTGGGAGGAACCAGGGATAAAAGGTTTACCAAGAAATGGTATCCCTGCTCTCCAAGAGCTGTCGGTGGGGGTGGGAGACTGATGGGGAAGCAGCCAGAGAAGAACAGGGTGCAGGAGCAGGTACCAGCGAGCATGGAGTATGGAGGAGGCTAGCCAAGCGACCGGAGCTAGGCTGGGAGCTGGAAAGCTGCCCATGGGTGGAGACACCTCCATTGGCTTTTTTTTTTTTTGCAATTGACAAGGAAATTCAGTTATTTCTGAGATATACATTTTAAAGTAATAACTAGAATTATAACTTATAACATTATACCAGAACATAGAAGACTTTTAGAAATTTCATGTAATGTCTGAAACATTTATATTAACATATTTCCATACAAATAACCCCAAGAAAGTTTAGTATTAGTTGTTTTTTTGTTTGTTTGTTTGTTTATACTGCAGGTTCTTATTAGTCATCAATTTTATACACATCAGTGTATACATGTCAATCCCAATCGCCCAATTCAGCACACCATCATCCCCACCCCACCGTGGTTTTCCCCCCTTGGAGTCCATATGTTTGTTCTCTACATCTGTGTCTCAACTTCTACCCTGCAAACCGGTTCATCTGTACCATTTTTCTAGGTTCCACACACATGCGTTAATATACGATATTTGTTTTCTCTTTCTGACTTACTTCACTCTGTATGACAGTCTCTAGATCCATCCATGTCTCAACAAATGACTCAATTTCGTTCCTTTTTATGGCTGAGTAATATTCCATTGTGTATATGTACCACATCTTCTTTATCCATTCGTCTGTTGATGGGCATTTAGGTTGCTTCCATGACCTGGCTATTGTAAATAGTGCTGCAAGGAACATTGGGGTGCATGTGTCTTTTTGAATTATGGTTTTCTCTGGGTATGTGCCCAGTAGTGGGATTGCTGGGTCATATGGTAATTCTATTTTTAGTTTTTTAAGGAGCCTCCATACTGTTCTCCATAGTGGCTGCATCAATTTACATTCCCACCAACAGTGCAAGAGGGTTCCCTTTTCTCCACACCCTCTCCAGCATTTGTTGTTTGTAGATTTTCTGATGATGCCCATTCTGACTGGTGTGAGGTGATACCTCATTGTAGTTTTGATTTGCATTTCTCTAATGATTAGTGATGTTGAGCATCCTTTCATGTGCTTCTTGGCCATCTATATGTCTTCTTTGGAGAAATGCCTATTAAGGTCTTCTGCCCATTTTTGGGTTGGGTTGTTTGTTTCTTTAATATTGAGCTGCATGAGCTATTTATATATTTGGGAGATTAATCCTTTGTCCGTTGATTCGTTTGCAAATATTTTCTCCCATTCTGAGAGCTGTCTTTTCGTCTTGTTTATGAAGGCATTAGACCAAACAGGATGGGGACAAGAGAGGCACAGAGCCAGAAAGGCACTCTTACTGGAGGGGATTTTAGGGAAGGATTATGTAACAGAAGACACATAGGTCTTTGTCTCTACCACCTGCTGACTGTGCTAGTGGGTCAAGCATTAAATAAACTAGAACCGACTTGCTCATCTGAAAGTGAGGCTCCGAGTCAAGGGACAGGCAATGTTGTGGCTCTGAGCCTGACCTTTATAACCAGGCTGCTGGGTTCAAACATCATATTTATCCATAACTAGTTCTGTGACCTTGGACAAACGGCTTTACATCTTTAAAAAGGGGACCAAAAAAATGTTGTCTGTCTAACAGGGTTGCATTTATAAGAGTTCCTGGTGCAGAGACAGTATCAGATAACTTTTACTTGTCATTATTATTACTGAGCCACAGGTTGTTTTAAAGAATAAACGAGGCTGCATTTAAATGTGCTTTATAACCCATGCAGCACTGAATAATTCATGACCCGGTACGAATTATACTAGAAGCACAATGATTTTTAGAAAGAAGAAAAACATACTGCTTTTGCTTTTTCATGAAAAAATTTCCCTTTGAAATTGGGCCAGGAAAATCCCTGGCCACAGATGCTCTTGAATTCAGGTTTTCAAAGGTGGTTCAATTGAAGAGTTGTCGTTTTAGGTCCTGAGGGCCCACGTTTGGTTTGACACAGAAAATGCAATGATGCTTTCAGCAAGGAGGGGACAGCGGTCTCGATTCAACAAGAGCTAAGCATGATGAAATGGTCGGGGGCTTGGGACCTGGCTGCATCTTAGCCTCCCTCACTTTCTTTCATGTCCGATATTTCCCCTCTACTCCTCATGTCCTGATGGTCTCTGCCTCCACTTCTATTCATGAAAAGCGGGATTGATAAATATTCCAGGATCCAAGTCCGCACTTTGCACAGTTGGCTTGCAGGAGCTTATGTGGGCAGATGAACCAGGAAAAGTTTTTAAACTCTTGGATCCCTAAGAGGCTCTGAATGTGGGTCAGATGCACAGCCGCCTCCTCTCCTGAGATACTTTCAAAGCAGACGGGGGATGTTCAATGAGTTTAGCGTCCGTGAAGCTCATGAGATGAAGGATGGAGGAACATAGGAAAAGTGCCTCTATTGTGGGTTGAACTGTGTTCACCAAAAAGAAATGTTGAAGTTCTAACCCCTGCTCCCTGTGAATGTGAACTTACTTGGAAAAAGGGTCTTTGCAGATGTTACTGAATTAAGATGAGGCCATAAGAGTGGACCCTAATCCAATATGACTGGTTGCAAAAGGAATACCAGACACACAGGGAAGACGGCTATATAAGAAGAGGGAAGCAGAGATTGGAATGACACAGCTGCAAGCCCAGGGTTGCCAAGGATGGACGGGCACCACCAGAAGCTAAGAGGCAAGGAAGGATTCGACCCAGAGTCCCCGAGGGAATCTCAGAGGGAGCAGAGTCTCAGAGGGATCTGGCCAACACCTTGCTTTCAGACTTCCAGCCTCCAGAACGGGGAGAGAATACATTTATGTTGTTTCAAGTCACCTAGTTTGTGGTATTTTATTACAGCAGCCTTCGGAAACCAATACAGCCTCTCAGTCCAGATGTTCAGCCTGACTGTCACCTCTGGGGAGTTCTTCCCTCTAACTCCCCACCATGAGAACCAGGCTGGACCGGAATGCACTCAAGTGATAGGAACTGCCTATGGGAGAGTGAGAATAAAAGCAGCAGGGGCCAGGGCAGACCGAGCGGTCTCTGTGAATGTCTCACAGTGAAGGAACATTATTTTGAGTCATTAAAGCGTCATCTGTACAGGTAGCATCTGCGGTCTGCCTCCTGAAATAGAATGTGAGAGCGCTAGGGAGGACACAGTCAACCAGGAACCTAGGAACATGCCACGCTGCCCCACCAGGTCTCAGGCCAAGGAGTCTGCATTTTTAAAACTTTCCAAATGGGTCTATAGCTTGAGTTTCAACATGGGGAAACTGAAGCTCAGAGACATTAAGTGGTTCAAGTCTTCAAAGTTGGCTCAAGAGGCAGCATTGCACAAGAGTCAAGAAAGTGGATGTTTCCAAAGAACAAGTGGGGTCCAATATACCTGGGGGTGTATCTTGGGTCCTCATGGCTGGGAGGAGTTACTTCTGTAAGACTCAGTTTCCTTCTCTGCAAAATGGAAATAATGATAATCCCTACTTCACGGAATTGTGAGAACTCAGTGCAGAAGTGCATTGAAAGTTCAGCATCTGGACCCCAGAACAGTGCCATACACGGCCTGGCAGCAGCCTCTGCCACAGTCGCATGGGAAGCAGCCGAGTGGAAGGTGGACCTATGCTATTTTGCCGCTTAGTCCAACATGCCTCGCAGGACTGTTCCACCTTTTAATGTTTTGGACGGTGATTACTATAACACCCAGCATAACCTCAGACTCAGAGTGCAGCTGGAGGGAGCATGGGATTTTAAACGGAGACAGGAGGGCTTGGGAACTTTGGACAGTGTCTCTGTATTAGGAATCCTGTTCATACAGGGCAGAGCTAGATTTTCTAGGTAATAGGTTGGGCTCTGTGAAAAAATGGTCCTTTTCCAGCCTTGTGAGTGCGTTGTTCTAAAGATGCTCAAAGAGTCCCTGGCCAACCTTGTCTGTATCTTACACAGCAAGGAGGAGATGTCCTGTCCCCAGGTGCGGTGCGAGCATGCACTGAGCCACTCACAAGTCTCACTGGCAGGCAGGCTGCATTCCAGTCCGGGGCAGTAAGTCAGGTTGGAGGTTCAAAGATGCTGGTATTCAGTATATTTCCAAAATGATTTGTTCTGAGCTAATTTGTCTTCTAGTTTCTGTACAAGTCGTGAGCAAGAAACACTTTCACTTTCAGAAAGATGCCTTTTAACTTGAAGATCATTTTAGTCATTAGAAAACAGGGACAACCAAAGATGCTATCCCCTGCCAGTGCTTAGGAAGGGGAACTTGTATACGTACAATTTAATCCTCTGACAGATCTTGGCCAAAAATGGGAGTGAACAAATATCAGAACCACTTCTGGAATATGTCTGGAGAGAAAAACAAAAACAAAAAGAGTTGTTTAGTTCAAGGGATGATTTTCCAACTTCTCAAGGCCCTTCCTCTCCTCTTGGCTCCACAGTTTGGATTTCTGGACTCTTCTTTCTCCAGAATCTGGGTCATTTTAGTTAACTAAATTTACCTCTTGTTCCTGTTTCCACGCTCCATATTCATTCCACCTGTGTGCCTTTGTTCATGCTGGCTCCTCAGCCTGAAGGCTTCCCCTTCTCCCCCAGCCAGCTAGTCCCACCTTCATCTCTTTTCCGCCTCTTCCCAAAAGGGTCTGGCCCACCTTGGTCCATTCTACTCAGACAACGTTCCTCTCCTCACTGCCCTCAGTGGCTTTAAAAAAGGATTTGAAAATAAAGACTGTTTTCAAATAAAATAATTCCTTCCTGTTATGAGATAAAATAAAGACTAACGGGAGAGACACTGGCTTAGGAAGAAGGAAGAAGGAAGGTCCCTTCCCTGGGGGAGGCGGGGTAGAGGAAGGAGGGGTGTGTAGATGAAGTTCCTCAAAGCTTCCCGAACAAAGGGATTTCAAACAGCAGTTTCCATAAGACTCTAGCTTGTGGGATAAATTAAAAGCCCTGGCTTTTTACCAAGTAATGATTTTAGAAAGATTGCAGTTCCCTTGATGTTTTTCTCAGACAAAAGAAAAAATCAACAGGGTAGAAAATGTAAGGAAGCAGCATTTATTAACAAAGGGAGAGATAGTTCGCTTTTCAAAAGTTCGCTTCACACCACTTTGTTTCTGTGAAAGACCTAGGTTACTACCTCCTCACGAACTGAAAGAAATCCAAAGAAGTTTTTTTGCTCTCACAACAAAAAAATGCAAAAAGCAAAAATAGGGCTCCCCGGGTGGCGCTGCGGTTGAGGGTCTGCCTGCCGATGCAGGGGACACGGGTTCGTGCCCCGGTCCGGGAGGATCCCACATGCCGCGGAGCGGCTGGGCCCGTGAGACATGGCCGCTGAGCCTGCGCGTCCGGAGCCTGTGCTCCGCAACGGGAGAGGCCACAGCAGTGAGAGGCCCGTGTACCGCTGTACTGCAAAAAAAAAAAAGCAGAAATAACGTTCATCGTTTGTTTTTCAGGAGCCAGTGGAGAGGCAGCGAGCACCCTGAACAGTGAGAGGGGCACCGCCCAGCTCCTTCCCCAGAAACCACACTGAGCATCTCAGCATCAGGCCACCATAGCTTTGAACTGTGTCTGTGAGCCTCTGTGCTTGATCTCAGTTTATCTTGTGCATCTGTTAGCAAGATGTGTCCTAAGGTAATTGCTTCTTTGCCTTAGGGAAGACTTCATAGGAATGCTTTACTTTTGGATAGCGGGGAAACCTGTAGTGATTCCCTCTAGCCCAAAAAGTTCTTCAGATGGCTGTGAGTGGTATTAACAGCATTGGTAATATTTTGACACTAGCAAAGGTGAACAGGTAACCTTTTCTGGTTATACATGAGGTTTTTAAGGATCTTCAGGATGCCTGCCCAGCTTTCTAGGATGAGGAAAAATGCTGAGTAGCATGAAAGATTTGGAGACAGAAAAGACTGTCCTTGTTGTCATGCAGCTTACTGTCTAGTGGAGCGTCGGGGTGAATAGCGCAGCTCTTAGCATGCTCTGTGATGTCCGTGGTGGTCCAGGCATTAATACGGCTTTCTGGGAACTGGAGGAGGAGGCAGGCAAGGACCCAGAAATCAGATAGGAGGCAGGTGGGAAGGAAGCGACAGATGCTCTATGCTTTTCAACTCCAAGTACAGCTTGCAGACTTGTTACAAATGTAATTCATGGGCTCGCCCCAATCTAGTAAATCAGAAAGTCTGGGGTAGGTCCCAGGAATCTGTGTTTTCACAGCCTCCCCGTCATTTTGACGCTCACTAAGGTTTGAGAACCACTGCTCTAGGTTCTAGCTGATGAAAGTGTGATCACAAACCAGGAGCACTGAGGCCAGCTGGGAACTTTCAGTACTAAAGTCTCTGGCCCCAGATTCAGTTGACCTGCTGAATCAGAATCTGTATTTTAACAAGGTCCCAGGTGGCTGGAGTACACACCAAAGCTGGAAAAGCACGCCGCTGGTAGAGGGAGCTCCCTTGCAGTGCTGTGGGCACATGAGCTGGGCCGGAGTCCTGGGGGACTGCCAAACATTTCAACCTGGCTGGAGTATAAGGAACTGGGAGAACACGGTGACATGGAAGGAAGGAGACATTAGGACAAGCCTAGGACACTGCACTACGTGCTATCTTGAGGACAGTGGGGAATCCTGGAAGGTCTTAAGCAGAGGGATCACATTTGTATTTTGGAAAGATATCTCTGCAGGTGACATGAAGGCCTCGAGGAAGCAATATGGGACAGAGAGACCTGCTGGCAGATAAGGATCCGAGACGTGATTCCGGGGTTTCTAACCTCAGCACCACTGCCATTGGGTCCTGAATAATTCTTTGTCGTGGGCTGTCCTGTGCATTGTAGGATGTTTAGCAGAATATCTGGCATCTAGCCACTATATGCCAGCAGCCCCCAAATGTCTCCAGATGTTGCCAACGTTTCCAGGAGAGGGGGAGGGAAGACAACATTGCCCCTGGTTGGGAACCACAGATGTGAGGTGGGAGGGGGAGGATGGTGGTGCAAAGGAGGGGTGTTTAGAGACCTGATAACTGATTGAGATGAGCAGTGTAGATACACTGCAAAATAAACACCAGCGTGCAATTATACCCAACATTGGTGGCAATTTGGAAAGAGACACATTCTAAGACCCAGAGTCAGACTGCATTTGAATGTGTGAGCTACTTCTTTTAATATTCACTTTAGTCTGAAGGCCTTGGTCTAATGAACGTAATGGCAATGTAGATTTTAACACTGATGATAACCAATACATTAAAGAATTTATACAACAGCCTGATAATTACTATACAAGGGATACAATGGAATAAAATGTTATAATTGCACAGCTGTTCACTGTCAAAATTCAGCCTGAAGGCTGCAGCTGCCTTTGACATTCACTGTGCAGAAATTAGATCTAGGATGTGGGCAATAGATGATGCAACTTGTCCAGGGACCCCCAGAATTCCCTCTGTTTGATCATGCAGCCTTTTCATCACACAGTATGGGAAGGACTAACCTCTTCTTATAAACTTGCAAAGGGAACTTAGATGGACATAGAGCAACAGCGCAGAGGTCCTCACTTGCACGCTTGACAGCCCCTTCCTTTCAATTCAAACCTTACTAGATAGAGGCAGAATGTGGGCTGTCATTAACTCAGCAATGGATTTAAAACATCACATCTGACTGCATGTAATCCCATCTAAAATGAAAGCCTCAAATCCGGGCTGTCCCTGGGCACAGGAGTCAGGCAGCATCATTATTTTGCCATCTGTTTAACCAGCTTCTGCTTGCATCTGGAGCTTTCCCACCCCAGGATGTTAAGTGAATACAGAACAACAAACAGGGGTTGAATAAATGGAATGAGGTGGATGGGGTAAATAGAGGGTCAAAGCGGGAGCATAACATCTCTTCTGTATACAGCCAATTTAAGATTGAATTTTTGTGTGATGAAGGGCTTTTAAACCATTCCTGTGTATTATTTTACTTGAATTTAACTTGGATTATTTTACTTGGGGCAAGTTTGAACAGCAGCAATTTTTAAAGGCTTTCCAGATGGTTCTGTTGAGTAGGTAGGTTGGAAATCAGGGCCATCACGTACAGCAGTACAGGTTGTGCACTACAAGATTCTAATATTCACATAGCCTGTGATGTGAATGGTGCTTCCTGAAATTCAGTACTGAGGAGGTCTGGTTGAGAGCTATTGGAATAGTGGAAGGGGTAGAAACTTGGAAGAAGCTAAATCTGGATGTAAATGATGGGTTTCTCACTTATTAGCTATGTGGAGTGAGGGAATTACTTAACCTCTCATCCTTAGTCCTCTCATCTGTAAAATGGGGTTGATAACAGAGATACGCTATCTACTTTGTAGGAGTTTTTGTGATAATTAAATAAATTGATGCCATGACTCAGGTGCTCTAAACCCTCAGATGCTTAGTGTTCTGCCAAATCCACGAAGACCCCCCGAGGAGCCTCTCGGGACCTCCTTGAGAGGCAGATCTTCTCTGGAACATTCCATTCCCTTCAGTAACACTAAACTCTTCCCCAGTCTGGATTCTCCATCTGACAGGCTGTGCTGAAATGACATGCAACCTATTCTGTTTCTCTCCACATTCTGGCTAGGTCGGCAGTTACATCAACCATCACAATGGAGTTAATTGCAGCCAATATCGTCTGAGCAGTTTTTCAAGATGCTTATTTGCATTTCCTGATTATTTTTTCCCTGATAGCTTTAATCTAGAGAGTAAATAAGTTGGAGGAGGTTTTTGAGGAGTTGTGTTTTTTTTTAATTGGTGAATTGTTCAGTTGATTTTTTTTTTTTTTTTCTGGCTTCTTGCAAGTCATGATTGGAATCCTGCCCCATGAATTATGCTCGCAATTCTGGTGACAGAAACGAAAAATTATAAAATCCTAATTAGTCTTTGAGTTAATGCCAAGGCAGTTTGTACTAGTGAAGTAAACGATGTCCTGAGAATAAGTTTTTAGATGCATGTTGAGAAGAGTAAGAGAAAAACGGTATTATTCTCCAGTCTGTTTAGAGTTCTGAAGGTGGTGGTCAAGGGTTTCATGTGATGTTTCAGTTTCTTATTCAATAACTTAAGCAGATTAGCTGAACCAGCTATGGTTGGCCTTTAATTATTCACTGAATTAAATAATAATTGGAGATGCAGGCATTGTGATTGATTAATCAATTGTGCAGAAATGCCCGCATACTGTCATGCAACGTGTATCAGCCTTGTACATCAAAATCCATGTGCCCCCCACAAGTAGGGTTGCCAAATAAAATATTGTACTGGACATACTTATACTAAATAATTATTCATTATTTATTTGAAATTCAAATTTAATTGGGCATCCTCTGTTTTTATTTGTTAAGTCTGACAAACCAAGCCATGAGGAAT